GTATATGTAAACATGGGTCTGTCTATCTATCTATATATATATTTTATTAAATTTGATGAATAATATTAAAAAATTTAATTTTGCTGAGTAATATTGACGGTAAGAATTTTTTTTTATAAATGTAATGAATGTTAATGTTATTTTTAAAATCTCATAAAAAAAAACTTTTAATTTTTTAAAATGTTAAAACTAAATAAAATATTAATAGTGCGGTTAGATTTAGTTTTTTTCTTTCTTTTAAAAGATTAAGAATATTATTAAACTTTTTAAAGGATGAAAAATATTTTTGTAGATAAAATAGAAAGTTCAGGGATATTTTTATTAATTTAACCATTAAATAAGGCTAAATTATACATAAAAAAAAAAATACTCTTCAATCTTGTCATTATTTTAAAAATACTATAACTTTTTGTTAAAGTTCCAATGCTTGGACTCTCTGTAAAAATTCCAAAACTACCCTTTTAAGTTTGGACCTTGAACAGTGTGGTAGTGACCTAAACAATGTAGTTATATAAATTTTTATTCTAAGTTACCATCACACTGTTTCAAGTCCGAAATTTTGTCAAAACAATAGTAAAGGACAGTGATAATTCCACATCAGCAAGAAATAAAGGAGAAGTTGAGAAAAAAATAGATTATTTATATGAACAAGGTGCACTGTCATTTTTTGTAACTCGATTATGGAAATTTTATAGTTAAATGCGTTTGAATGGAGTAACTTTATGTTGAGTGACATCAACATCGTGGAAGAACACGTGTTAGTCTGTGAGGATGCGGCGGTGGTTTTTTTTAATAATTTTTTAATGTATTATTATTATTATTATTTTATATTATCGAGAAAGATAACAACGTGATCCAAAAATAAATAAAAGTCGTAAAGAACAATCCTATTATTATTTTATTATTTAATAATTTCTTCCCACGTCGCAATCAGATGATGAGGTTGCGACCATTAATAAAGGCAATCAGACTTGAGGTTTAATTCATCACGTGGCAGTCTAATCCTGGGAAGGATATAATTAATTAATTAATTAATTAATTAATTAATTAATTAATGGACTTAAAATATCTAATCTTCCTATTAATTAATTAATAATTGGAACACAATCACTTTATTAATAAAATATAAGATCCACCCTGTCTCAAATCTCTTGTTTTCGATATTAACAAGGTTATATTTTAATTTTTAAAAATTATGTTCGTAATATTATTCAGTTTATTAAGATGTTTTATTTATTTAATTTTTTATTTACACATTAGTACCAAAGAAATAAATAAAAAATTGTACGAGTATATTAATTAAAGAATTCTATAAATACATAAATTTGAGGGGAAATCACATTAAATCAATAAAACTTTAAGAAAATTGAATTAATTAAGAGAGAAAGGTGCAAAATTATTTTTTTAAAAAAATAAATAAATATTTAAAATTCTATTATTAAATAGAATTAAAGTAAAATTTTATAATTAATTTTATTTTCTATTTTAATTTTCCTATTTTTTAATCTTTTGACTTGGATTCATTGAAAATTATTGAACGAGACTTTCACCTCTAAATCTTAAATAATACGACAAAAAAATTATATAGATTTTAATAAAGATTATTAAATAGTTTGTATATAAAGTAAAGAATTAATTAAATTTAATGGAAAATCAATTTCTTTTTTGAAAAGTAACATAATAATAATAATAATAATAATAATAGAGATCCAAATTAGGTTGGTGATATATATCCATTATATTTTTTTTGAACCAATCAGTGATAATCCAAAACAAAAGAATAAATTATATATATCCGGAAATGATGAGGTTGATCTTAATTATACATCGAACAATAATTTTTTTTATTATTAAAACACTCGATGTAGTTTTAAGTTTGTTTTAAACCAACCCTAGTAGACTTATGACAAACATCGACGAAAACATTTATTTTTGCTTATATAAAGAAATATAAACTATGGTCAATGATTGAATGAAAGTCTCACCCGTTAATTTAGACAATAATCATGGGTTTATAATTAAGGAATACTATCTCCGACCTCTTTTGGAGAAGTCTAAAGCAAAGCAATGAGAACTTATACTCACAGTAGACAATATCATACCATTATAGAGAGTCCATGACTTAACAATCAGGTTGCAACTATCTATTATTTAGTAACTTATGTAGGCGGCCACGACCAATTTATGAATATATAATTTATACGGTTGTTCATCACTACTGTAATACTATTTGTAAATATATACTCGGTATACTTTATATTATTAAATATAACCTTAATAATATATTATAATTTTTAAAAATTAAACAAAAATATATTTTATATAATTTAAAATTTGATAGAAAATCGTAAAATGTATCAAATTAATCAAAGTTAAAGTGGCATTCCATTTATTTGAGATTACTTTTTTGGATTTTATTTCATTTTCATAAGGTCACTTTTTCAAATTAAATTAAAAAATAGTCATAACTTTTTTAAAATAATTCAACGGAAATCATGAAATCGTATTAGAAGATGAATTCCTTTGGTGTAAATCTAAATTCAAATCACTGAATCAAATAATTTAACATGTCGTTCTAAAAATTTCAGAAAAGATTTTTCAACGTGGAAAAACGGTATAAATGAATGTGATAGTTTTTAGGTATAGTTGGTGTTGCCCGTGCACACGCTTGTAGACACATTAAGTGGGTTTGCTTACGTACCCGCTAGGTCTAACTATAGGCTAGCATAAGCTCACGTAGCCGATGACTAACGAAAAGTTATGTACAAATGCGTACAGCACGATGTTATTCGCGTTCCTTTCCTTTCAGTTGATTACGATAACGTGTGCACTAGTGCATAATCTGGCCTAAAGAGTCGGTTAATGAGTTTGTTTAGTGAGTCCATGTGCATATGCGTGAACCACGTGTAAAGAAGTATTATGTACTCCATTGTACTTGAAAATTAAAGTATATTTTAGCTATTTATGACTCTCTAAAAGCTACTAATTATTTAGATTATTAAATACAATTGTCCATGAGGCTGACACGTGACATATTCGAGATGAGTGATTCTTATGACTTTTATTTATTTTAAGACATGTCATTGTCATCTGTTGTTATTGTTTTTTAATAATTAAAAAAAATACTTTTTGTTGACCAATTTTAATTTAGTGTTTTTTTTAATAAATAAAAAGTAAGTTATGAAAACCACTCACATTTATTTAAATTAGGAAAAATTACTCAAATAAATTTAGTAATTTAAAAAGAAATCTTCCGAAATATGTCGAGAAAAATAAAATTAAGAAAAAAAACAATAAGAATTGAATGAAAATTCACTATTATTTATTGAATTATAATTTTTTTTTTCTCCATATATTACGTTAATTTATATATTTAAATAATTTTATACAAATGTGAAAAATTATATATGGTTGATTTTAAAATGACATCTGGAGAATATTTATGAAAAATGAAGAATTTAATTAATCTAATTATTAATTCTATAAAGTTTAGGGAATAAAATGTTTTTTTTAGGATTTTTTTTTAAATTTCGACAATAATTAGGTGGAAAAAAATAGTTAAATATGCTTCTTCTTTTTTTTTCTATCATTATTATTATTATTTTCCTATTTATCGTTGAATGGATCCATTCGAAAATAATTAGATAATGACAAAATCATAAAGATGATATATTTTTTTTTTTCGCGTTACTATTCAATAGTTGATAATAAGTAATGGGTTGAAAATTAAACCACAAAATATTTGGTTTCTAATTTTGTGAAAGAAAATGGTAATAATTGAACACCCAAAAATCACAAAAATAACTTTATGTTCATCAAATGCCATATCTTTTTCCCATCAATGCCCCATCTTTCAACCCATTATTGTTACCTTTAAAAAAATGTGGAAGCAAAAAAACATTAAAAAAAAAAAAAATTGATTTCATGGTAGTATAATTAATATTATAAAATTAATTAAAATTTAATGGGACGAAAATAATGTTGTAGGTGAGATCAAGCCTAGAACATGACACGACTACCGGTCCGTCTAAGACAAAATTGGCATGCGCCAACGTTGTTACATCTAATTCGACTAGAAATATCTAGGTTAATCTTGATACGTCTCAACTTTAGGCATGCTTACAAAACCCTAACTCAAACTATTCCTTTTAAAATTCCAGACGGCCTCAAGTATCACTTATTATACATAAGTAAACACTTGAAAACATACTAAACATTTTATTAAAATATAAATAGACACAAAGTTGAAAGTTCAAGAACCTATAAAAAAAATTTTATAATTCGAGAACCAAACTGAAACAAACATGAAAAATTATGATTAAAAATGAAAGAATCTAATATAAAAATGAACGATATATATTATTTTAATAGAAGTAAAACTACAAACATAAGTGTCTATTTATATATTCCCATCATGAATGTTCGGGTTAGATTAGACACCTCACCTAATCTCGTAAGAAAATTAAATTACATTACTTAATTTGAAAACCCATATAATTAAGTGTTGATTAGGTGGTCCAAAACCAATTCCATGAAAGAAAACTCACAAAGTCAATATCTTATTCTCATTTATCAATAAAAATTGAAACCTAACCAAACACTTTTCTAAAAGAATCTATTATTTTATTGTTTCTTAATACATTACATTACCAAATACAACAACATTAATTTAATTGAGATTTTTGCTTTTTTATTAAATTTATTGTTTCCAAATCATAAACTAAACACACCATAGGCTTAATTGCAATCATAGCACCAACACTAGATCACGAGTTATCTAATTCACCCCTAAACAAGATTCTTTTGGCCTGTCCTTCGAGTTACTTGTATCCTATAAGTCATCGAGGGATACTTAAGCTTAGAGGGTAGTTCTCTTTTCTTGTTTAAAAGTGGTCGGAAATCGAACATGTCGGGTTTTACGGAAAAATATTAATGCAGAGAAGTAATTTATCCGTGAGAGAGAAGCCATCCTCTCATCGATCGTTATCCATGTGACAAACTTAGAAAGGAAATCCAATGATTTATATAAGAGTTAAAATGGTAAGAGTTTCATAAACAGGATAATCTCAAAGCTTTTGTCCAAGCCAGAGACTAATAGAACTTATTGCCTGTAAATTTATTATGCTTTGTTTACCTGAAAATGAACATAACTTTGACTTGACTTAAAATCTCCCAAGTTACTTGAAAAGGTTCTCAATTTCCTTCTTGTAATAACCAGCAACTTTGTCTCTTCGAACCTTCATTGTAGGGGTCATTAAACCATTGTCGATCTACAATACAAAATGTTGTGAAGTCAATGAAAGGATTGGCAAAAGTGCAAGCTTTTAGATATCAAAATCAGATGATGATGGTGAGCAAGAGTTTCATACTGTGAATGGTTCATTGACAATGAGGATTGGTCCAATTTGAAATGGACATTCTGAAGTCCTGCATGAAATCAAAGTATTATATTGCTATCGATGATCTTTCGTTCTTCTCAGAATTAGACTAAACATGGGAAAATCACATATGGGAATATCACAAATATAAATAGGAATTGAAAAACATCAGGTTTACATTGACTTGCTTCTTAGCAAATAAAGTTGCAAAAGGCAGTTTAACACAACAGAAGAATCATTGAAAACCCCCTTTGCTTTGACTACATTGTTAATTCAACAACTTACTCTCCTTACTAACTTGGGCATTAGCCCAAGTGTTATATTTGGTTTTGTACTAAAATATCGTATTGGGTGATGCTATTTGTACACTTGAACTTGCTTGGATCATATCTAAACAAATCGAACAGGACAAAGGCCAACAACACAAAATATACGTCGTGGCAGAAAAATATGGGTACGTATATTTCCGAACACTGTGAGATACCTCATTGGTTGGAGAGGGGCATGAAGCATTCTTTATAAGGGTCCAGAAACCTTTCCTTAGCAGACGCGTTTTAAAAACCTGGAGGGAAAGCCCGAAAGAGAAAACTCAAAGAGGACAATATATGCTAGCAGTGGGCTTGGGCTACTACAAAGGGTATCAGAGCCAGACAACGGGCAGTGTGTCAGCGAGAACGCTAGGCCCCGAAGGGGCGTGAATTGTGAAATCCCACACCGATTGGAGAGATGAACGAGTGCCAGCGAGGACGCTGGGCCCTGAAGGGGGGTGGATTGTGAGATCCCACGTCAGTTGGAGAGAGGAACGAAATATTTTTTATAAGGGTATGAAAACCTCTCCCTAGCAGACGCATTTTAAAAACCTGGAGGGAAAACCTCAGAGGAAAAACCCAAAGAGGACAATATCTGCTAACGGTGAGCTTAGGCGGTTACAAACCCATTACACTAAAGCCAACAAAAATACGTATGAGTTCACGGAAAGGATTCCCCAAATTGTTAAACCAGGTATAAGATGAAAATAGGAAAAGAAGAAATGAAGACTCACCATTTTCTCACTTCACTGTAAATCAGATTTTTCAATGTTTCATTGCTAAAATCAGCTGTACTTGAATCTGCAACAGACAATTTCCTTGCTGCAGATAATACTTCTTCCTCATTCGGAACTATAATCGCTCCTAGTCGTCGTTGATCCTGGGTTATGTAAAGTAATGGTACAAGAAATTCACGAAAAAAGTAGTCAAGGAAAGCAGACTAGTCAATACACGGATATGATATATGACATGAGATGTTTTCACTCCACCTGGCCAATAACCACAATTTGTTGTATGAGACTACTTCTCATGGCAGCTTCTTCAAGCACCGTTGGTTCAACATTTTCACCTATTTTCCCCAAGAAAGATAGATTTGAAATGGTTAGAAAATTGTAGACCAGAGATTTCAATTAGATAAAATATCTTAACAGAGACTTCCTCCATGTTCTTATTTTTCTGTTAACACTAGGTAATGAGAAACAAATACATGAAGGGGGCAAAAGAACTGAACTCTTTTGTCTTCCTCAGATTAATTCACTTTATTAGCTTTTTACCTGTTGAGAGAACTATAGTATCTTTTGCCCGCCCATCAAGAACAATTACACCTCCACAACGACGACTCCGGCCTATCGAATGGTGAGGAGCAATCCACCCGATATCCCCAGTGCTAAACCAACCCTCTTTGTCCAAGACTTGTTGTGTGGCAGATGAATTCTGATATCAAATCAAATGAAAATTATTTGTTAAAACCATAAATTAGTCTAGTGAATTTAAAACTTAATGAGCAATATTTTTCATGTACAGAAGGAAATTCAGTAATGGAAGGGTGTTTTCCCCTTCATTCTTGGATGGGAGAGGGTTAAAGCATATGTGACCTAGCAATTTACTACGGATAAAATCTGGACATAATAATTATATCCAGTTCTTTCTTGTCGTTAATTTAATGCCTTAAGGATTGTATTTTATATTTACACTAATTAATATAATTAGTAAGTAAAACTATACTAATTCATATACAGGAGATAACAGCACCTACACCTATATGTTCCTGGAAAAATAATTACAGATGTGCATATAAGTGATCTCCATAAAAGAGAAGTCAACTACAGAGCTGCACGACATAACAGTTCTTAAGAAATATCAAAATTTCGAACTAAGACATCATTTATGGTATATATATAGTTGTAGGATCTAATAATTATTGGATGAATTTGATATTAATGAAGAACATCACAACATAAGGATTTTGAAGTGTTCATTATAGGTGATTCAGACGTGAAAATACCTTATAGTAACCTTTCATCACTTGAGGTCCCTTAACTTCAACAATGCCTCTTGATCCAGGTGGGAGGACATCTCCTGTTTCCATATCTACAATCCTAAACTCTGTATGCCGAATTGGATGTCCAACCGAACCAAGAACCTTTAAAAGTTAAAATCTGCATAATTGTCATATAATCTGCCAATAGGTGTAGAAAAGTTCGAAAACAAAATGAAGCAAATAACAAAACTAATCTTAGCACAGGAGTCAAGAAGTACATAATATATCTTCTTAAAGAGCTGATTTAAAGACATCAGAGTTGTATGTTGTATTCTAGTCCACAGGTAGAAAGGTCATGACAATGTTCTAAAGCCATTTCATAGCCAGAACAATAAAAGCTGCTAGTTTGAAATTTACAAGGGCAGCTTCCAACTATGAAACAGGGGAAATGACCACCGATGGTTGCTAATTAAGGGTTGGCATCACTTCAACCCAATATGATACTGATTTATATCCATAACAAAGAAGAGTAGATACAAGCAGCAGATGATCTATAACGGTTAGACGATGCTGGTATGGAATCTCAAAATTTCCATGGAAAAAATTTGATATTACTCTGTCAAAATATTGCCATCACACTCTAAATTTTACTAAAATATGTATGTTTTATACGAGGATGGCATCCAATTAGAAAGCTACCTAGAATATTAGAATGTATATTGTTCCAGATAAAATGAAATTAATATGCAGAAGTACGATATCCATCCATAGAGATTGACTTTTTGACGTTTCTTACATTGCAGGTAGGTCGTCGAGCAGCAATTACAGGAGAACATTCTGTTAAACCGTAACCATTCTGCACTGTAATGCCAATTGCCTGAAAGAATGCTTGACCATATAAATTGTAAGCAAAGAAATTTGATAATAATTATCAAACGTATTTAAGCATCTGACCTCAAAAAAAAGATCAACATGTGAAGGTAAACTGCCCCCTCCACTTATGCCTGCCTGCAGATTCTAGAGAAGGTTAGTTATCCTTCAAATCTCAAGAGCCTTGTCAATAAATGTAATAGTTTCCAAGGTACCCGAATAAAAATAAGATGTTTGGTGACAATATTCATAAGATAATACAAACTGAAAAACCGTCTTCTCAGATTGAGTCTGTCGATCCAAAACTTGTTCTAAAGAAAATTTTGTCTATGAAGCATAAAGTTGTGTCCATGACATGTCAGGCACGTAAATTAGAATGTTAGCAATTACTGGTAGTTTTCTTCTTCATTTTTGACATGATTGATCACTTTATGAATAAAATATATCATAAATGGAATATGTGCGACAGAAAAAAAAAAAAAAAAATCATGTCATAAAAATATCCAAATAAAGAGTGTATAAAGACGTTAAAACTGTCAGAAAACACCCACAGAGGAAAAAAAAAAGGAACCGTAGGTGAAAAGAACAATTAGTACGCAATAAGGAAACTATAGAAAGGAAAAGTTATAAGTAGACTGAGTTTGATTAGTCAGAACAGACAAAGAAAAAGTCACTAGAAGAGAAGCTTCATCCACTTGTTTAATTGAATTAAATACAAAGTCAGACGTCCAGTCCTTAAAATGTAAATTAAAATGATTTTCAAATGTTTTAGCCACACTTGTTCTATGGAATTTCTTTCAAGCAATTCTTTTTTCAGAGGGAACACCGTTCATGCAAATATGGTGCGTCAAAATCATGAGTGAACCGAGTGCTGTGGTCAGTTTCTAACTACATATTAGACCTCCATAGGTTAGTAATAAAAAATGTCATTAGAGAAGAAATTAGCACCAAGTTCCCCCCCCCCCCNCCCCCCCCCCCCCCCCCCCACAAAAGAAAAAAAAATCAAGCGATTATGTTATGCATGCAAGTTATAGGGAATTTATTGAATTAAAGAAAGAAGAAGACCTTCCATATGCCAACTGCAGATTGAACTTTGCTATAGACTATTTTTTTTGCCAGCATATGAATTGGCCACAATATTGCAGCAGCCGTTCTTGCAAATAACCAGTCCAATGCAGATACAATATGAGAAGGTTGAGCCTCGCTTCTTGTTAGATAGGTTCCCTGAGGGAAAAACATGAAATCATAAAATAGTAGATCATATGTAACTAGGTCTCAATAAGAATGGCTATATATTTTTTTAAAATAAGAAACTAAAACAAATTAAAGAAAGAAGAAAAAAAAGGAGAAATACGACAAGATGTCCTATATATATGCTTTTAAAATAAGAAACTAAATCAAATTAAAGGAAGAAGAAGAAAAAAAAAAAAAAAAAAGAAGTAACAATAACTGCAAATAAAATCCAATTTTGCAGAAGTAACAACGGAATATCCCATACTGTCTGGTCGTTGACATTGAAATGAATTAGGAAAATAAACTAAAGCCAACTATTATGCTGTTCTCATAATTTAGAGATGGAAACCTTGATTACATAAGTACTTGTTGATGCGAATACACCACTAATCAACTTAAATCTGGAAATATTGCCATGCATCCCTAATTAATTTGATAATGAGAGCAAGATTTTACGTTTTAGTCCAGTTCTAGGAATATTGCTAATTTCATAGAAATGTTAACGGAGGGTCAGCGTGAGAGTTCCTAATAGAATATCTAAGGTTTCCCCTGAAAGAATAGAGGATTTCCCCTCCCAAAGTGATTTATATGAACAAGAATTAAGAATGTAGTTAAAAACAGTTTGATGGCAAAGAAGTTTCAATCCCAAACCTCGTAGATCCTCTTCAGCTTCATATAAACTAAGCTGACCTTGATAAATGCAAGCACAAGAAGCTTACGTGCATTTGAGCTTGCTGATATTTGCTTCTGAATTCCACTGGAAAAAGGCAGAGTATAATTAATATACATGTATATACACACACAATATGGCTGGGAGAATCATGAGATCATAAAACCATGAAGAGCCATCTGAACATATAACTAAGACAACAAGGGTAGGACATATGGAAAGAGAATGTTAATAACAGTATGGCTAAGCCAGCCAACAACTTGGAACAAGTTGTTATACACACACAATATTTGCTTCTGAATTCCACTGGAAAAAGGCAGAGTATAATTAATATACATGTATATACACACACAATATTTGCTTCTGAATTCCACTGGAAAAAGGCAGAGTATAATTAATATACATGTATATACACACACAATATGGCTGGGAGAATCATGAGATCATAAAACCATGAAGAGCTAATATACATGTATATACACACACAATATGGCTGGGAGAATCATGAGATCATAAAACCATGAAGAGCCATCTGAACATATAACTAAGACAACAAGGGTAGGACATATGGAAAGAGAATGTTAATAACAGTATGGCTAAGCCAGCCAACAACTTGGAACAAGTTGTTATACACACACAATATTTGCTTCTGAATTCCACTGGAAAAAGGCAGAGTATAATTAATATACATGTATATACACACACAATATTTGCTTCTGAATTCCACTGGAAAAAGGCAGAGTATAATTAATATACATGTATATACACACACAATATGGCTGGGAGAATCATGAGATCATAAAACCATGAAGAGCTAATATACATGTATATACACACACAATATGGCTGGGAGAATCATGAGATCATAAAACCATGAAGAGCCATCTGAACATATAACTAAGACAACAAGGGTAGGACATATGGAAAGAGAATGTTAATAACCGTATGGCCAAGCCAGCCAACAACTTGGAACAAGTTCCATGAAACGTAAAAATGATGGGTACTTCGACCACATATTCTAATAAAAAAGCTAAGAAATTTGGAGAAATTAAAACATAATGCCTAGAAAACTAAGACAGTATTCTATCTTGAAGGGAAGCCTAGAGGAAAATATAAACAGCTTAGACCTAAAGGAAGAAAAGGAGGCCTTAACAGAGAGGAGAAAGAACCAAGGAAAGAGTGGAAAAAGAGAACTATATGACGTGTGCAAAAGTAGAGCCTAATGGGGTAAAAAGAGGAGATAAGAACTCGTCTTTTTTCGCTTGTCTAGTAGCCAAAAAAAAAAAGAAAAAAATGAATGAATGAATGACATTTTGGAGTTAGCTATAAAAGAAGGTTTTAGTAAAGTGAAGAACAAGGAGATAGAAGAGGAAATACTAATTATTTTTCTTTGATGTATATAAAAGACGGCTAGATGAAGTGACGCTTTAACAAGCAAAGAGATATCAAAAGAAATTAAAAGTTTGGGAGATTCATAAGCACCTACATTTGACAGTATTACTGACAAAATCTTAAAGAATGTCATTAAACAAATTTCATGGAGATGTTTCAAACTTTTCATTTTTGGGAAAAGCCATTAATGCTCTTTACTATTAGATTTGGAGTATGGAAAACCCTGATTATGTAATCTGTTTGGGCTAATATATGTGATATGTCTCAAAATTAATCACCTTTAATTATAGAAATTTAATACCATATGATAAAAATAGGAGGAAAATAGATAATAAAAGTATGGTTGAATTATAAGTTTAGTCATTGAACTTTCAAGTTTGAGTCTATTTTGACCATAAACTTTAAAAAGGAGTCAAATGAGATCTTTAAACTTTCAATTTTGTGCCCAAAAGTCTCTGAACTATGCAGAGTGTGTAATAGGTCTTTTAACTTTCAATAGTGTCCGGTGCCTAAAATTTTAATTAGGGTCCAGTAAATTAAAAAAAAAATTATATCTAATAGATCAACTAATTTTTACAAATGTCAAATATGTCGGGTACCCCAATCTGAAACACATTTAAATTTAAGGGACGTACTAGATATTTTAAATATTTTGGGACCTATTAGTCTCAAACTGAAAGTTTAGATACTTGAAAGATTGAAGCTGTAATTTAACCTAAAACTATTTTGGAATATGCACCAAAGATCCCTAAAAGTTCAAGCAATTCAACAAAATCATTTAACTTCTAATTTACAATTCCAAGAAAAATAATATTAAATATATCAACGAGGCAGAGAGACCCCAAGTACCTGTATAGTGTTTCGTACACCAATGGAACAGAAATCAAGTAGTCTGGTTGATATTGACGAAGATCGTCCTAACAAACTCAAATGGGAGGAGTTAAAAAAAAAAAAAAACAATCATATTTCCAGTATAATTGTAATTTTACATTTCAATGAATTGAAGGAATGCATGTTTCTCATAAAATAAAAATAAATAAACAAATAAAGTCCTATAATAACCATTTAGTTTTTGGGTATCGGAAAGTAAGTTTATAAACATTATTTCCACCTATGCATTTTTTGTCTTGTTATCCACTTTATAGCGACGATTCAAAATTCAACCGAAGTATTGAAAAGTAAAAAAGTAATTTCTAAGAAGTTATTGTTTTTGGAATTTGACTATGAATCCTAATATTTTTCTTAAAAAAGATGAAACCATGGTAAATAAATGGTAAAGAAACAAGCACAATTTTCAAAAATAAAATATAAAAAGTCAAATGGTTAGGGATGTAATTGGTTCGATTCAGCGTGCTTTGAGTGCCAAACTAGAACTGAACCCAAAAATATGAAGGAAAAAGGGAGAACCGAACCAAAAAGCAACGACTAAAATAAATATATGTATACAATTGTGCCGTAAGAAATTTTTATTATTGTTAATAACAAGTTCGATGATTCGGTTCAACCAAAACTCATTTGAACGAATGATTCGGTTCAACAAAAACTCATTTGAATGAATCCATGAACCAATCTAACCCATAAAATTTTAACTTATTTAAATCTAACCCAACCCACGTTGTATAGGTTAGATTGGGTTCATCGAGTTCTTCCACACAATCTTTTTAACACCCCTCTACTAGGAACAAAACACCTAAATTCTTAGAAATATTTTCTCACTAAACAACCAAAATCCCCAAGAGAATGATCATTGTAAAGCTCACGGGCAGTTACACAATCTTAAGCAGTGGAAAGGTACCTTTAAGTTTCTTATTGTTGTGTAAGCTTGCTCCACTCCAAATGTAAATATGAAATATTCACAAGCCCGTTCGTATGCATGCCAAGGTGGAAGCATACTTAGAAATTTATCCCCAACTTTCGCAGGCACTACATCCCACAAATTCTTTATCTGAAAAATGTTTTGACATACAAAGCAGCCATTGAGAAGATATCACACACACACATAAGTCATAGATAGATTAATGAAAAATAATATATTAAAAGATCATTAAACAAATTCTTTAATAAGACTTTTAGAACTTTAATTAGCCCCGACATAACTGCCTAAACATAAGAATACGTGGCAATCAAACATAAACACCAAACTCATAAACAGATTAATGAACACAGAAAAAGCATCAAATATGTAGTGAGAATTATGGTTCCAGTAGCCTCGTACTACAAAAACAACTGAACGAGAGTAATCAAACAAACCTGGTGCAATAAATTTCGATGGGTAAGCATGACACCTTTAGGGTTTCCAGTTGTGCCACTTGTATATACAAGTGTAGCAATATCATCCAAGCTGATAGCTTCATATGTATAATGCTGCTCTGTGGATCAGTTCCATGAGAAAATTAAAAGATAGAGAAATGGGATTGGGAGGTAACCAAGTACCAAGTAAAGTTTAAGCATTTTAGATGTGCAAGATTAGATTTATTATGGCAAAATGATAGCCTTCGCAAAAAGGAAAAAGAAACAGAAATAATAAAGTTTTTGTCAAGCTTGTTACCTAGACAACTTTGAACAGATTGGATGGCATGAAAACTAAATCTATTTATCAAGAAAAATAGAGGGAAAATTTCAAGTTCACTTAGTAGATCGACTGAATGAAAAGAAAGGTAGAGGCCGGAAGATACAACATTAATAGGTTGCCAACGAGTTATTTTTTCCTGCCAAAACCTCCACTAGATTGTCCAAAGAGTTACACAAAATGTTGATATGGTTTTTAAAGGACAAAAATGCCTAGTTATTTTAAAACACTAAGTTTAAACTAGTGATTTCAAGAATGAGAACAATAAGATGGCCAGATCTTGTCTTTCTAAAGACATCCAAACAATTTATGCAAAGTAGATATAATATTCTTTTAGCGCAAGTTTACACCAGGATCCCTTCTTTTGATGTCTGTTAACCTTTAAATTATAAACCCTCAGGCCTCAAAATAGAGAGATGGGATGTCATCTTAGATTCTTAAATGTATGAACAAGACTAAGTTCAAAGAGATAAAACAGTAAAATCTGCTATGATTTCTGAGTCCGAATTTCTTGACAAAAAGCTAAACAACTTACTAGCATCATGAGAATCAAGCATAACTTTACGACACTTTTGTCCCATATCCACGATGTCATTGTAATCAAAAACTGCAATGCCATCCATTCCCTCATGAGCCAGGCTAGATTTTTCTCCCCATAGAAGAATGACACATCTCATGGATGCCTTCAAATGGAATGTTTCTACAATTCGATTGAACAATTCAGGGTTGTCCACAACTAATGCTACACTGTGAAGAATAAAAGTAGAATCATTTAATGTATATGATATAGTTTATAAGGAAAAATAGTTGACATTAAAACCGTTACTATCTCAGTAACATAAGACTATGGTAAAGCAATTTGTAGAGAAATGAAAAAAGGAAAAATTAACCAAACTACATAGGAACCAATTTTATGTATCATTGCCCTATTTTTTTAGAAATTGATGTGTGTGGCATCCACGTCTTTAATATAAAATAATGATCAAACTAAAGCAGACTCTGTATATAGAATAATGTAAATACTTCCGACTCTTGACTGAATTAGGCTTCAAACAAACCTTTCAGAGTGATTGTATATTTGCAACAGCTCCTCACTAGATGATCTTGAACCTCTAACAACATTAATTGCTCCCATTGTCATAATACCTGAATCCAAATGATAAAAAAATATAAGGAAAAAGTGTAGAAGCTAAACTACCAATAAGACAGTTTTCAAATCCTAAATGGTCGACAAATTTTCTATGAAACAAATGCGACCTTCCCTGACAAAATTTAGATGAACTTATTGCTCGCTTCAAACATATACAAACTTCAATTTTGACTTTTGCCTACATTTTACTCTTGAGTTTTTCAACAAAAAAAAATGCATAACAACTTTCATTGAGAAAATTAAAAGAATACTAGGGCACACAAAAAACCAAGCCCACAAAAGGAAATCCAATTAAAGAAGGATCTCCAGCAATACAAAATACTTCCTAAAGAATTACTACAGAAGATCTTCAAAATCTAAGCCTAAAAGGAAACAAGAAATCTAATGAGGGACCATAATCCATAAATAGCATATACATACCAACTGACTGCAGATCAAGTGTCTCACCAGTATAACTGAAATCACTCACGATTTTAGGTTTCCCATTATTACTTCAAAAACAGTTTGGTTTCAACTTGAGGACACTAATTTTTGCTTGAACAGTTATTCATGATGAAAATTTATATTGTACATTCTTCCTACTGCATAACAAGGCTATGAATCCCTGTTTGGTCCCCTCTTGTAGAAATGAGAATTCTTATCTCCTTGGCCGGAGAAGAACATAATATATCAATCTAGAGGATGGAAGGAAAATAAGGAATAAAGGGTAACAGTATACTAGCTAATGACATATCAAGGCAAGAAAATTAAATGTAACTCTTTATCATCAAAACATACCTTGATCAGCAACAAGCCATCGACATGAATTATCAGCAAAGAGTGCAATCTTTTCATCTGGCTTTATTCCAATGGCTCTAAGGCCTTCAGAGAAGTTCAAGATACTTTGTTCTAACTGAAAATTAAAAAAATTAAAATTAAAATGTAAATACGATAAAGTATTTGTACATGTTAGATTTAAAAGTAATATAAGAAACAAGATGGCGTGTTGGTTCCCTGCTAAAACAAAAATAATAATAATCACTGACTGAAGCAGACTTTAGGGTTTAACCGATGGTATATGTGAGGAATGTTGGGGAAGCTAGAGTTCTATGCTTCTATAAAAATATGGTAACAAGACAAATTCAATTTCAAGTTTGAAATATCTTGAAAATAAGTACTAAAATGGTTATTTCATGATTTAAATCACATTGGTCATCTCCAAAATAATAATAATAATAAATGACACAAGTGATTCACTTTAGTAATAATACAAAATATAAACTCAGCGTCATTACTTTATCTTAAAATTAATTAGTACTTGCTGAATAACAAGCAAATAATTCATAACTAACAAAAGGGTATGAATGCATTATTCACTCATAGCCATAATTACCCGCTTATTCATTGCATAAAAGGTGATAGAATTAATTATTTTCAAATTTATAATTAAAAGAAAAAGGTTCAGAAGTCAGGAAGTCCAAGGTGGTGTAACATTTATCCTCATATTTATGCTCTACTCCTGCTTAACCAACTGACGAACTGTATCTAACATCTTTCTTAAGCTTCCAAATCCAAACAAAACATTGCTATAAATTCCATTCTGCTTATGACGTTAAAAGAAAAAGGTTCAGAAGTAATAAAATCCAAGGTGTTTTTGAACGCTGCCGCTATGTTTAAATTTATCCTTTGACATGCATGTACTCATTTTTTGGGCTATTGTACAAGTAATGTCATATCCCAGTGAAAACTACGAGATGGTCATCCATCAATCTATAGGACTTAAGTCCCCAGCTACAATCCACTAATATTTAAATTCTTTGGGGAAGAATTGAAAATGTGGAACAGGTCCTAAATTTTAGCCACAGTATGATATCAAGTTCAACTAACTGATAAGTAAGAAGGAACACATATTAGGATCATATTTTCCGTAAGAAAAAATAAAATGGAAACATAAACCAATATGAAGTATAGAAAGCTGACCTCCTTATAAGTCATTTTTGAAGCAGGATTATGGTATGGATCCACTAATGCTACCCGATCGCCATACCTCTCTGCTGAAGACCTCCAAATATCAGGAACTGCTTGCCACTCATCAGATACTGTTGCACTATTACCTGGCACGAAAGAACTTTCGAGGAGTGGAGAATATCTCCTTAACTGCAATGTCTCTGTCTACATTATAATGGAGGAAAAAAATTCAATAAGTTTAAAGAAAATAGCATGATAACATCAAAATGCAAACATCTTATCACGCGAAGAAGAATGGGAGAATGAATTAAGACAAAGCATTGATATTCATGATACCTCCGGCAAAACATCATGAAAATTTGATGTCATATAGGGAATTAATAGTTTCAATAACTAGTAAATGAAAGTTTGAATACATAATCCATCACTAAGGGCGTGGAAGCTGATTTCTATCAACTGCAAGTGAGTTTAGAATGACTTTAAAGAATTGTGATTTTTTATGTGAAGCACTTTGTCGATAAGAACTTCTTAAAGAAGCATTTATACTTCAGAGGGTCCATCCAGGTATATTAATGGGAGATACGAAAAATGATTTTAGCCAATAAAAAAGCACTTCTAAAATTTCTGCAGTGTATTGTCAGACAAGCAAAAGCGATTTTGGAAATCCTAAAAGCACTTAAAGTACCTCTCCCAAATCCTTCAATTTGAGGTTTCCTAATGAATTGGTGAAAAGGCTTGAAAACGTAATTTCCTTCTAGTGTGTTAAACATAATATTAAATTTATCACTAACCCATCAGCTTAAGTTTTTAGGTTAATTAGTAATTTAACATGGTATCACAGCCCACGAATGAGGAGTGATAGAGTGTTTACATATCATTAAATTTATCATAACCCATCAGGTTAAACTTTTGGGTTAATAAGAGATTTGACACTTCTGACCACTATCCCAATCAACTCTCCTTTGAGAGGCTGGCCTGGACACAGATTTATTGAGAAATTAAAAGCCTTAAAAGGTACTGTTAAAACATGGAACAAATAGACAAATGGCTCCATATCTACACGGAAAGAACAGTAGCTGAGGGAGTTGGCTGAATGGTTATATGAAAGGAATACCAATTCCAGTTTCTTCCACCGTACTGTTGCTGCCAGAAGAAGAAAAAAAAAACACCATTATGGAAATTCTCAACACATAAGGCAGAAGAGTATTTACTGACCAATAGATTGAAAGCGAGTTCATCAAATTCTATGAAAAGCTAAACACTAAAAAGGATGGGTCTCAGACTCCTACCTACCCCTCTCAACTGGAATCCTATTTCACACCAACAGGCATTGGAATTAGAGAAAAAATTCACGGAAGAGGAAATTTGGCAAGAGGTTAAAGATTTGGGCTCTAATAAGACGCCGTTCTGAACGGCTTCACAGCAGAGTTCTATGAAAAGGTTTGAAACATTCTTAAGCCTGATATCAAAAGAATTTTCCAAAACTTTTTCGTAATGACATCATCAAAGCAAGTCTCAACGAAATACATATTTCCTTATTCCCAAGAAAACGGAAGCAAAATCTGTGGGGGGCTACAAACTCATTAACCTTATATCTTGTATGTACAAAATCATGCCAACAGTCCTCTCATAGAGACTCAAGATGGTCCTTCCCTCTACCATCATTGAGTATCAGTCTGCTTTGTTACTGGCAGAGAAATTCTCGATGCATCTCTCGTAGCCAGTGAACTCATTGGTAATGGAAGAGGAAAAAGAGAAAAGAGGTCGTCATTAAGCTCAATGTTGAAAAGAACCTTTGATTAGATTGATTGGGAGTTTCTCGATGCAAATTCTTAAAGCCAAAGGGTAACTGGGGTTACAAAGCCTTCCAATTGGTACAAATATAAGAAAGAGAGTAGTTGCAAAAAAAATCCCAAGTTTGCACCAAGTGACTTCTGTAGACAAAATAAGATCAAGTAAGTAGAAATATATACTCTCTATTCCATGATGTGATAATTACTGTCCACCCATGTGATCCAAAGGAAGATTTTGACCATATTATTCCAAAGGGAATTTCCTGCTTCTGGTTAGGGTGGACCACCAACATAGTGTGAAGATTAATGGTAATGTTTTTGGGCATGAGGGTGGTCCTGCCAAAAGGGATTTTTTGTACGAATGACCTAAAATTTTGTATCAGAATGATGAAGGGAGGAGAAGGGGGATGGATGGGGGAACAAGAAAGCCAAGAAGCTGAAATGGGGAAGTGAGAGCGAGAGGGAGAAAAGGACAGGGAAGAGGAAATGAGAGAAAGCCAGAAAAAGAAATATCAAAAAATTCATATACGGTTGAAAGTTTTGTTTGAACAACCATGTCAAATTTCATTTGATAGCCAAATTTGAAATCAACCCGTTCAATTATACCAAAAGCTTGGATAAGGGCATTCCAAAAAACAGAGGCAAAGGAGAAGCTAATACAAATATGATCTTTGAGTCTCACTATTCCTCTTGCGAAGAAGATCATATTGACTGTGTAAGCAAACACCCTCAGAACTTAGACTTCTAATTTGAACAGGCTAACGACATCTCACACCTCTTCAAAAGTCCCACCAAACTTAATAGGTTAGGTGAATAGTAGAGTACAACACGTATTGCAAGAAGTTACTTAAAGACTACAATTATAGAATAAACATTATTCCAGCCAGTTATTTAAAGCAATTTCGTTCCAAATACCATTTTCAATTGCTATACCTAAATCAACTCAAGATCCTCAGCAAAATGGAAAACCATCAAAAGTAGGTAGAAATCAATTTTGGCCGTAAAGAACATTATTGATCTCCTTTCTACCAGTAATCCAAGAAATAAATACAGCTTGTTCTTTGTCGTTCCGTATCACTAACCCCACCACAGAGACCAGAATTAATAAGAACTGACACCCATGGGATCTTTAATTAGGCACACAAAAGGAAACCATAGCGCAAAAATGGAAAAATGAGTAAGAAATTTCTTGCTACAACGACCAAAAACAAATATAACTGAGGCTTAAAATTCAAGGAAAGACCTATCCAATCACAACTAATTCTCACTAACCTAAATCTCAATCCATACATCCAAAAGGTACTTCACAAATCACCTTATTAGATTGGCAAAAAACTCGACAATCACGGTTCGCTGAACGCCGAACTCCACTTCCAACGCAACTTTGAAGCAAATACGGACCAGTGAGGCGATAACGAGAGAAGAGGAAAGGGAGAGATTGGGAACAATCGGTAGATCTCCATGAGAGTTGACTGGAGGTAAAGGGAAGCGCCATAGCCATAATCAATATCCAAATGGCACAGAAAACAAGATAAATTGAGGTGAAACAGAGATCGTTGCTCTGGTGTGTTTGTATCTAAAACATATCGAAACGCAGAGTGAGAGAGAACAAAACCGTGAGAGGTGACGAACAGATATCGTGGAAAATTGGATCATTGAAGACTCCGAAGAAGTAGGAAGGAAATTGGTAGGTGGAGGAAGTTAATCCAAATGCTGTCGCTTTCACGTGACATCATGTTTTTCGCGATGCCGGAAGCTTTTCCGTCCGCGTCCTGCCCTCTTATTTCAATTCTTCAAACAAAATGTTTTTCATTTTTTTTTATATATTTTCTATAAAATTTATATTTATATATAAAAAGTGAGACAAGAAAGAATAAAATCTCCTTTTTGTTTCGTTAACCGGAACAAATCTTTCCCCAAGTTCGATTATTCGCTCAAAGTCCTTGATTGAAAGGGAGTTTTGTTTACCTTACTGTTCCCGGAAAGCGAGAGATCTCATTGTTTGAGAAATGCTCTTTCCTCTAGCGGGATCAAACTTTTCACAAGATAGCATCCCGTACTAAGAGAAGGTGCATTAGTCTACCCGAAGGAAAGTCAAGAGACAAAGTGGGTACTGGCATGGTTAGAGGATTCGAACCGGCACGACTAGTTTAGTGTTAGCAATTAGCATAAGGCGGTTATGCGACAACTTGAAGTTGAGAAAACTTCGATTCTAAATTACCGTTACATCCAACCTCGATATTTTTTTCGAGATTGATTCTTGCAGGTTAAATGGATGCGTTATTTAAAATTATTTTAGGTATATGGTAAATAGAAAGTAATACCTTCAAAAAGTTTTTAAAAATATTTCTTTTAATTCAATTTAATATGAGTTAATTTCATAAATTTTAATAATAATTTCGGACTAAATTAAATAATCAAATTATTTCAAATAAATGTTCGAGATTAAATATTACTTCTACGAAAATATCTATTAAAGGTTTTTTTTTTTTTTTCGAGAATATTAAAAAACATTGAACATGTAAAGTTAAACGATCCATTAACCACTTAATTTTAATAATTTATTAGATTTAAAATATTAAAAGTTTTTATAATTTTTCAAACTTTTTCAAAACGTTATCTCGTTATATATCATCTTGAAACTAAACTTATAACTTAATTATAATGTCACGGTAAACGATCGGTTATCGACAATCTATGAGGTGATTTTACCGTTGAAATGACACTAATATATTTACAAAAATACCAAAGTTTGAAGACAATATTTTTTTTCGAGACAATTAAGACAAAACATAGTGAAAGTAAAGTTGTTGGCAATTTTTGTTGAGAATTGAGGTTGTTTTTGACTCGGGTCAAAGAGTAAGCTAGTGATGCTTTCGACTATGAACTCTCGCCATCTAAGGTGCAGAATCCTTCGTTGAGAATTGAGGTTAATTTATTGATATTATTAGATTATTGTTTTATTAACGTATTTCAACTTGATTCGTCTATTAGATAGTGTCCGTTTTGACCTATCGTCGTAAGCCTCACAATTTTAAAACATATCTACTACGGAAAGATTTCCACACACTTTATAAGGAACGTTTCGTTTCCCTCTCTAACCAATGTGGGATCTAAAATTAAATATTTAAAAAAATAAAACAATATTAAAGGTTTAGGTTGCATGCTTAAAATCATTCAGGTTTTATTTGAACAATCTTGTTTGTGGGGCGATTCGAATCTCAAACAAGTTTTATTTCCTTAAATATTTGATTAACAACGTAATAGTGATTCTTTATTGTTTTAGGGTTCTTAAATATTTTATATCTAAAGGTCTTATACTTCAATAAGGTTGCTAAACCGAATTGGGCTAGTGATATATTGATAATTGGCTTATATAATTATTGGGCTTAACCCTATTGGGCTAGTGATATATTTTAACACTAGTCTTCGTTCATAGCACCATGTTGAGCCGACAACGAAAGCCTTGATATTTACTAGTATTCAGCCCTTTTGCAGACAACTCTACCATTAGTCATTTCTATTCTTACTTCAAAACTTTCTTTCTAATAAAATGTGTAACAGCCCAAACTCACCGCTAGCAGATATTGTCTGTTTTGGCTCGTTACGTATCATCGTCAACTTCACGGTTTTAAAACATACCTACTATAGAGAGGGTCTAGCCCTACTCAGATAAGTACCTTGCACCGTCTGGTGACTGCTCTGATACCATTTGTAACAGCCCAAGCCCACTGCTAATAGATATTATCTGTTTTGGCCTATTACATATCACCATCAGCCTCACGATTTTGAAACGAGTCTGCTAGGGAGAGGTTTCCACACTTTTATAAGGAATGTTTCGTTCCCCTTTCCAACAATGTGTGATCTCACATTTGTAATAGCCCAAGCCCATCGCTAACACATATTGTCCGTTTTGGCCCGTTACGTATCTTCATCAGCCTCACGGTTTTAAAACGTGTCAGCTAAGGAAAGGTTTCCACACCCATATAAGGAATGTTTTTTTCCCCTCTCCAACGATGTGGGATCTCACAGTCCACCCCCCCTTAGAGGCCAACGTCTTCATTGGTACATCGCTTGGTGTTTGACTCTAATTTGTAACAGCTCAAGCCCACCACTAGCATATATTGTTTTTGTCCATTATGTATCGTCGTCAGCCTCACAGTCTTAAAAAACATCTACTATAGAGAGGGTCTAACCCTACTCCGACCAATGTCTCACATTGTCCAATGACTAGCTCTGATACTATTTGTAAAAGCCCAAGTCTATCGTTAACAGATATTGTCCACTTTGGCCCGTTACATATCACCGTCAACTTCACAGTTTTCATACTCTTATAAGGAATGATTTGTTCCTCTCTCGAACGACGTGCTCATATAATTATTGAGTTTGACTTTATTGAAATATTTAAGAGATTCTTGATCGATTAACGAAGATCCAAAAAGAGAGATTTTGATGGAGGCAATTAAAGAGGAAAGCAAGAGAATAAATAAAGTAGTTCTTAGTTGTTGCTTGCACGTTGCCAATTCGCCTATTCAACCACTCTCAACTAACCCTACACATACCAAGATTGCAATAAATGTCGATAAAGTTCGAGTTTTTTTTAATCTATCTCAGGTCAGCTGAGAGTGGAACGAAACATTCTTTAATTGTTTATAAATGTGCGGAAATCTCTCTCCCATATATGTGTTTTAAAATTGTGAGGTTGACGGCGGTACGTAACGGGTCAAAGTAGACAATATATGCTAGTAGTGGGCTTGGATTGTTACAAATGGTAAGCAAGGACGATGGAACTCAAGTGGTAGATTGTGAAATCTCACATCGGTTGGAGAAAGGAATAAAACATTTCTTATAAGGGTGTGAAAATATCCCCATAATATACACGTTTATAACCGTGAAACTGATGGTGATACGTAACGAGCTAAAGTGGATAATATCTACTAGTTAGCGGTAGTCTTGACTGTTATTAAAAGTAAAATTCAAAAATACTCTTGAATTTTCAAAAGTTTCATTCATACTCTTTAAGTTTTTTAACTTATTGTCAATACGGTGTTTCAAAAATACTAATGAATTTCGATAATTAAATGAAAGTCGTTAATATTTTATTTAAAAAATACCTTTGAATTTTCGAAAGGTTTTCACATGTATCTTTTAACTTTCAAAAGTGTTTCAAAAATATCCTTAAAGTTTTCAAAAACCTTAATAAATAATCTTATTGTCTATACCACTTTTCAGAAGAAATACTAACTTAACTTTCAAAATTAACATTAAAAATAGATAATTTATGAGGTGTCTAGTAACTATTTCCGTGGTATATCGACAGTAAATATCTTTTAAATTTTTTTGTATTGCTGAGACGTGTCTAAGGATAAAGTCTTTGCAACCAAAGTTTGCCGAGGAGCTAAGTGACGTTCGATACATTTCGAAATCGAGAAATTTCTACCGGATGAGTTGTGGTTAGGAGTGAAATGCCACTCGAACTCGAAGCTAGCTAGCTCTCCTAGAAATACGTTGAAAAAGATGGTTTTCCCCAGAAAAAAAAAAAGTTCAGGATATTTTTATTAAATACCACCCAGTCTTCCCTCAAATATTCATCTATTTGCCTAGTACTATCCAAGTCAATTCGTTTTCTCTAGAGCACATCGACAATCCCATAGCGCTCTATCACATATCTTCACTATGAACACACCTTATAGATCACAACTTCTTTGTTCGACACCTCGAGATTCTACTAACATGGCTAAGTTAGGAGCACGACTCTGATACCACTTATTAGGGATAATGACACTCTATAGTGTTTACAATGATATGATATTGTTCACATTCAGTAAGAACTACATGAGTGCCGGAGAAGTATTTTGGTAAAAAAAAGAGCCCCAGATTATAAGAACACTCGATTGAATCCTCACAAGAGTAAGAATGAGTACCGTGATCATATTCCTTTATCCAAATTTTAAAATATCCATAAAGATTACATATTTAAAATAATTTAAAACCATTCTTAGTGACATCATAAACATATCAATACAAAAATGTTATATAATTAAAAATGTTTATTTAACTTGTCGGTGTCAATTGTGATGTTTCGCATTTTAAAGTCTCGAGGGAAACCCTGAAAGGGAAAGCTAAAAAATGACAATATCTGCTAGCGGTGGATGTGGGTTGTTACAAATGGTATCAGAGCCAAGCATCGGGTTATGTGCCAGCGAGGAGGCTGTTCCCTAAATGGGGTAGACACGAGGCAGTGTCCTAGTAAGGACGCTGGCCCCAAAGGGGTGGATTTGGTGGTGGTCCCACATTAATTGGAGAAAGCAACGAGTGTCAACGAGGACGCTAGACCTCAAAGGGGAGGTGGGTTGTGATGTCCCACATTGGTTGTGGAGGAGAACAAAACACTCTTAAGGGTATGGAAACATTCCACTAACAGATGCATTTTAAAGCTTTGTTTAGGGGAAGTCCGAAAGGGAAAGGTCAGCGAGGACGCTAGACCCTGAAGGGAGGTGGATTGGGATGTCCCACGTTAGTTGGGAAGGAGAACAAAACACTCTTAAGGGTGTGGAAACCTTCCCTAGCAAATGCATTTTAAAGCTTTGTGCAGTTACAAACTTGTCGTCGAATAAGGCAAAAAATGCAAAAAAAAAAAAAAAAAAAAAAAAAAAAAAAAAAAAAAAAAA